CCTAGTGTCCCCATGTCTCACTGTGTCCCCAGATGTCTCAGTGTCCCCATGTCTCCCAGTGTGCCCATGCCTCTCAGTATTTCCTAGTGTCTAAGTGTCCCCATGTCTCCCAGTGTCTCCATGTCTCACAGTATTTCAGTGTCCCCATGTCTCCCCTAGTGTCTCAGTGTTCCCTAGTGTCTTCATGTCTCCCAGTGTCCCCATGTCTCCCAGTGTCTCAGTGTCCTCACGTCTCCCAGTGTCCCTTAGTGTCTCACTGTCCTCATATCTCTGTGTCTCCTAGGACCCCCCAGTGTCCCCGTGTCTCTGTTTGCCCCAGTGTCCCCATGTCTCCTCTAGTGTCTCAGTGTCCTCATGTCTCCCAGTGTCCCCATATCTCTGTGTCTCCTCGGATCTCCCAGTGTGCCTATGTCTCTGTGTGCCACAGTGTCCCCATGTCTTCCTTAGTGTCTCATTGTCCCCTAGTGTCTTCATGTCTCCCAGTGTTCCCATGTCTCCCAGTGTTCCTTAGTGTCTCACTGTCCCCTTATCTCTGTGTCTCCTAGAATCAACTAGTGTCCCTATGTCTCTGTGTGCCCCAGTGTCCCCATGTTTCCCTTAGTGTCTCAGTGTCCCCTGGTGTCTTCATGTCTCCCAGTGTCCCCATGTCTCACAGTCTTTCAGTGTCTTCATGTCTCCCAGTGTCCCCTAGTGTCTCAGTGTCCTCTATTAATGCAATACCGGCACCGGCCAGGCGGCTTCAAATACCGGCTGTGCCAGTAAAATACCGGCCAGATGGCATCCCTAGATGTAGAGTTCTGCCAGTTCTGCCAAAAAAAGAGATAACTGATGTGAATAAAAGATGATCCATAGGTAATCCAAATGTACTCACAGCGCATGTACATAAAGCCCCCCCTGCCTGATGTTGGCAGAGGCAGAGGGACATCGACACCGGACTTGGGTAAGTGACAAAGAGGTTTTTAACCCTTTTAACGCCACGGAGGGGTACTATAGTGCTAGTGATTTCCTATCATTATAGCTTCCCACTAATAAACATATAATATACTAATATATAGATTTTTCTTTACTGTCCCTCCTGGTTTCCCCGCTGTTGGTTACATTTTCCCCCTTGATCTGTTAACCAAACAGTTGGAATATTTATGTAAATTATGTAAATATCTTGCATTTTTGTGCCGTAATTATTAATTTTTCCCCAAATTAATTTTTTGGGCTATCCACAAATTATGATGTTCGGGTTGTTCACTAATCGATGAGTTCAGCTAAATTTGAAACTTATTTTAGCCTAAATTTTCCAACTTGTCTGTCAATCTATCTTACATCACCATTTAGTACATAAACCCTAACCTTTACCAGGGCAACACACTTTGCTATTGATGACATTCTCCTGCCAGTGAAAGTGTTAAAAAGTGACGTTTTCATTTTCTTTTTTATTATTTATCCCCGACAGGACAAGGTCTGTTGTGAAAGAGTTAAAGGGGTGGGAAATGTTTATGGTATTGATAATTACAGGTTATTATTCATTCCCTTTGTGACACCTTCCTTTATCTGGACCTGCTGGGCCATTACACAGCCAGTATGTGTTTATTTGTTTAATCTAAAGAATGACAGCGATTGTTATTGCTAGACACAGTTACTAAACAGTTCTGAGCTTTCTACAATACTTCTTCTGATCTCAGTAATTCAGTTACTCACAGTATAATGATTCAGCCTTTTCTATTACATTTTATGGTGTAAAAGGGTAAGGGAGAAAGAGGAGGCTTGAGATGCGTATGACGAACAAATCATTATGGAGTATATTCACTAAACTGTGAGTCGATGTTAGCCGACAACTAAGTTACAAAATCGAGACAAGAATAGTCGTAAATCTCCAACTCAGATCCTTTGGCCCAAGTTGTGCAACTTGGGGGCTGGATAACTAAAATGTTATTCTTTATAGGTTTCGGTGTCGTAAATACTAACCTGATTTTATTCAGCTGAAGATCATGGGAGTTGTAGTCAGCTGACAGACGGAGTGACACAAATTAAGTATCCTTGGCGTGTGAGAATTCATACAATATACAGAATGTAAGTGAAATGTTGCATATTGGTTGCAATAACGGCACCGGCCAGGCAGCCTCATATACTGCCTGTGCCGGTAAAATACCAGCCAGTGGCAACCTTAGCAGGCTTGCAAAATAAGAAATATTACTATTTATATTTGTGTTAGAGTTTGGACGTTTTGGTTATGTTAATAAATAAAGACAAAATATTAGGAGTAAGTATTGGTGTCACTAAACATTGAAATGTAATAAATGGCAGAAATAGTCCAGTTCTGACTGTAGCTGCGTTAGAGAATGTTTGTATATCTATTTTTTGTTTAAAATAAATAAATAATAATAATAATAACAATTCAATACAATAATGCTAATATATATCCTGGACAGGCTAAAGAGTGGCAAAGCTTCATGGGATTTGCAGCTTATCGACAGCTGGAGGGCTGTCTGTTGGATAGATCTGGTGTAGTGAATCCCAGTGGTCGTATGTGGTATTGCAGTTTAAAAAAAAAAAACATTAAAATGCTTCCAACATTCAAGTGACAGTTTTATACATTTTAAAATAGAGTCAGGGGTTGTACTAGCTCCTCGTCTATTAATCAGTTCAGCACAAGAGGGAGGAGGTTTTAGACCATCTTTAATCTATGCTTTCTTTCCAGATGTAAAAGGGTTTCCTGTTTAGGGCTTGAATTGCAGTCTAGTAATTTGATTGAAATATAGCGATACAAGGGTGATTATTATCAACATCTGTCCTGCCAACAATCTTCATTTTGGTGCTGTAGTTCTGATTTCAGGTTCCCGTCCTGCCATCCGATTTTGTTACACGGTGTCATACATCTGGGGACACCAGGGACCTGGCCTCGAGCAGTGTAGTGTGAGCGCATCATTAGATGTGCCTGCGCAGTGAATGGGCTCTAAGACCCTGCAGAGAGTTCTTTGTTTCCAAGTGGACCACCATTATAACCATCACCAGTGACGCAGGGCCCCCTTCAGGGCCGCCCAACTGTCCCCATCTCATACCTCCTAATATTGGGAGGCGTGCTACCTTCCAATAAGGAGTTTTATCCTGCTTGTTCTATAAACATTTATTCAGGGTAGAGACGGATTAAGATCACACAGGGACCCAGGGAAGATCTTAGTTTTGTACCTCCATTCATTCTTCACATAGGGAGGTAAATGGTACCAAGGAAATGTATGGTTCTGCTATCACTATCTAACTCTTGGACCTAATGTGACCTTAGTTAATCCTGCTCTGATTCAGGGACTACATGTGATTTTCGTACAGTTTTTAGTGATATAATTCCCAATAGCAGTCATTGTTGATGCCACAGTCAGGCCCTCCCACCAGGCCTAGACCCTCGTAGTGTCATTATACAGGGTTGGACAAAATTCAGAGTAGGGTTTTAGGAGTCAATAGCTGTTTTATTATTGAACCAATTTCAATGATATTATATTCAATGAATACGTAATGTATGGAGGTTTTATGACTAGGTACAGAAGATGACATCTTTCAAATTAGCTCCATTTGCCGCCCCGTAAAGTCGGGTATTTCGATTGCATTGTTCATAACATTAGTTAATGCTTGAGGCTCCAGCGCTCGGATTTCTGAATGGATATTCTCCTTTAGCTACTGAAGTGTACGCGGTTTGTTCAAGTACACCCGCTCCTTCAGCTATCCCCACAGGAAGTTATCGGGAGTGGAAACGTAGGGCGAATGTGGTGGATTACAGTGAAGTGGTGGCAGGCAGTTCTTTGCATCAAAATAATGGACCTGCCATTTTGAAAATAAAATTCCACTATTATTACTCGTTGTTCCTTTGGGAAATTGCTCATAATGAATCACCCAAGACTCGGTTGTAATATGTACCTGCAAAACTAAAAATGTAACTACTAACAAAAAAGTTATTTACCTGTCAAACCCTACTCTGAATTTTGGCCCACCCTGTATTTATTAATGCAATGTTAATCTACACATTTGCAAGCCCTTTGGCTATTATAGTGTATGAATATGCTAGTCGACAAGTTAAAACAAGTCTGCTAAGAGTCTCTTCAAATTCAGCAATTCTGCTTTTTCCTTGATTAGTTTAGTTTATTACTCTGTTTAAATGCCAACTCTGCCACCTACAGGCTGCTTTCCTAATTGCATCATTCTCTCAACTCTGCTTTGAAGAACAGAGGCAGGTAAACAGGTAGTTAGATCCACCAACGCTCAGAAACACTTGTAATGATATTCACAAAACACTGAATTTTAACAAGATGGCAAAACATCCCACCTTATTTAACTCTGTTATTTTTGTGTCAGTTTTGCCAATCGGATTTAATTCACCAAAAGTCGTTTTTGGTTTTTTTAATGGTATCTTTAATAATGGTTTATTTATGGCTTGTTCGTTGAATATTGAATTGCAGTGAGTGTAAACCTGGCTTGCAAACTTTGAATAAAAAGCTGGATTGGGGAAACAATTTCTAAAATTCAGCACTCGTCATGGTTTTACTATTTTAGGATACATTTAGCCATGTTCAGTTTACTGCAATTATCTGTGAATCAAATAATCTCATGGTAATCAACATGTATCTCTATGCCCAGTTCTATGCTCTTTATTACCTTTTAAAAATGGATGGAACATTGCTTATTATTATTTCTTATTATTTTATTATTTATATAGTGACAGCAAATTCCATAGTGCTGTACAATGGGTATTATTGAAATGGACCTATTAATCCCAGCTTCTGTAATCTGTTTCTCTCCAACAGAACACAAGACGTTGTTCCTTCTCTTTAAAGAGTTCTGTTGGTCCCTTGTAATGTGGAAAAATGATTCTGTTACTCTGCTGAGAAACAGGTTGTGTTATTTGTCTTTAGGAGAGAAAATGGCGCTGGTATGCTGCATTAAGGGGTCTTCCAATGCTTCCTACTCTTAAGTTTAGAACAAAGAGGCACATAGAGGCACAAAGGGGGCTCTCCTGGTCTCACAGGTGCAGTAGGGACTAATCGTAAATGTAGGGTGGGTTTTTCCAAAACTGGGAAGGCTTAACCCATTTTGAGTAATACGAAGTCAGAGATAAGATGGATTACCAGGTAGGTCTACACCACCGATCACAACATTCATAGAAGTGCTGGCACTCTGTACCAGTCAGAACCCTTCAAACACCTTCTGAATATATGCATTAAATCCCATAGCTACGGCAGCCTCTTGTCCAAACATGGAACTTCCGTGATTTGATGTGTGGGGGCTGGGCCTCAGTGGCCTAATATATCCCAGTTTTGCTCAAATCTATGAAAAAAAGGGAATCCAAGGTACACATTCTGCAGCCTCATAGCATCATAACCCTTACAACAGCACGCAGTGGTTCAGGGGCGGATTCAGAACCTAATCTCGGGAGGGACACTGGTAGATTATTTTAAGAAACAATCAGGCACAATAACCAATAACTACTGGCTGCCGGCAAAGTGCCTGTGGATCGTTGAGGGAGATCACTGTTTTGCCCCGTTGCCCCTCCCCCTGGATCTGCCAGTGCAGTGGTTATGGTGCTCCCTTTAACTCTTCCTTGAAGAATAAAAATACCATCCCATTGTGAATACATGTTCAGTAGCTGCTTGCTTTTAATTTAAAGAATGAATCCTGTGCTGCACTCTAATACCACCAAAAACGTAAGAGATAAATTGATGCAGCGAGGCGTGAGAAGAGTTCCTCTGATTCATCATTGCTCAGACTGCCAACAAGAACCTGTTTACACTAAATAAATAAACTACCACCTCCCGTGCAAAACAAGCAGCAAGGAATACCAACAACAGTGTGCAGGCTGCACACAACATTACAGGTTTTACGGACATTCCATCGCCTTAGACTTCTTGTTATAACCAGACTGAGCAGGTGCGGAGAGCATCCCAGGATTCTATGTTTCTGAGCTTTGTTCTAGAACATAGATAAACCATTGAACTCTATTTGTCATCACCCCTGAGAACCGACCGACCCAAGTTTCAATCTGGCAGTTTTATCAGAGGGCTTGAGAGGTCAAGAATAATGTCCCTTTAAAACTAAAAGGAGATACTATTGTTGTATTTAATAACTTATTAATATATTGCCAAATATCATCTCTAATGCTGTGCAAACTGGAACAAGAGAAGATAGCATTAGCCTCTCCAGCTGTCAATGGCCTGCAACTCCCATGATGCACAGCCAGAGAGTGTAATGTGAGGGACAGCCCACACCAAGGTCGGGATATCAGATTGTAGCCCATGGAACAGCGCAGCTAAGGGGAGTGGGCCTTGACAGAGCTAGGAGACGGATATGGGTGTGGCTGCAACTATAATACAGATATTAATAACGGACATTTTAGATTAGGTGCCATTTTAATTAATCATACTTACCTGTTGTTGTCCCACCCTCCCTCCCTCATAATTTGGTTATGGTGTTTATCCCGTTGGGTCACGGCGGTGGGGGTGTTGGGGGTAGGTAGTTTTTGGTAGCTGTGATGTTTGATAACAAAATTCACATGGTTGAATTTGTTAATTGGTAGGTTGGAGCCCGTAGGTGGTTCTCAACCTGGTGTACAATGTAAAACTGGTGGGTGTAGGGGTGTCTCGGTATACCCCTACAATGTTAAATCGGTGGGTGTAGGGGTGTCTCAGTAAACCTCTCCAATGTTAAATCGGTGGGTGTAGGGGTGTCTCGGTATACCCCTCCAATGTTAAATCGGTGGGTGTAGGGGTGTCTCAGTATGCCCCTACAATGTTCAATCGGTGGGTGTAGGGTTGTCTCGGTATGCCTCTACAATGTAAAACTGGTGGGTGTAGGGGTGTCTCGGTATGCCCCTACAATGTCAAACCGGTGGGTGTAGTGGTGTCTCGGTATACCCCTCCAATGTTAAATCGGTGGGTGTAGGGGTGTCTCGGTATGCCCCTACAATGTAAAACTGGTGGATGTAGGGGTGTCTCGGTATGCCCCTACAATGTTAAACCGGTGGGTGTAGGGGTGTCTCGGTATATCCCTAAAATGTAAAACTGGTGGGTGTAGAGGTGTCTCGGGCTGCCCCTACAATGTTAAACCACTTGGTGTATAAGGCCTGTTTTGGCCATGTTGGTTATGTTATTCATGTATGGTTATATGTTATGGGTCATTGCCGGTGGGTATAGTACTGTTAAAGTTGGGGTGATGTATGTGTCTATGTGAAATTGGGAATGTTTGGCAATGACCCAATTTGTTATTTATATATTTATTATATTTATAATTTATTCTAGACGTGACAATTTTTATCCACTGTAAAATTGGTGTCCGTGTCTTTTTGGGGGGTCCAATTTTATGGTTAGGACATATGCACAAAAGGACGACTATGCGCATGTCATGGCCATTATACACACTTGCAATAAAAGTGAGCTATGGGCTCTCGTTTCTGTTTTTTCAAATTTCCTGGTAGTTTTTATTTCTTACAGGGACATTCCAAACACCTAAAACACGTTAGCATGTGTGAGAGTGTGTCCATTGTTTCATTTTACAAAAAGTGCAGATTTCAATAGAAAGTGGCACTTTTATAAATTAACCTTACACCCGCCTGGCTGTCAATCAGACAGATGATCCTATTCCTTTGAGGGACTTTGAAGTCTGTGTGCAGACAAAGATATTTTTCAATTAGCTGCAAGATCTGTACATCACAGAATGCAATTAGTAACCAGCTAATTAAAAAGCACCATTTTAATGCATAGCAATATACAATCAGGTATACTGAAAGTCACAGAGGTCTAAATACCCACTGGTTAAATGTTAAAACCTTTTCATTAATTATCTCTGAATCTCCCAAATAATCTGCAGAGCAAATGTTCACCATCACTGACCCGGGACAGCGGACCTCAGCCCAGTCCGCACATTACACTCCAGGTTTGGTCAATATCCGTTAAGAAAAGAATATTAGTGTGCCTTGAGAACCTGGTTTTAAAATCCCTGCCTGTGTGTACCATGGAGGGGACGTATGTTTTAACCTAATTTTTCTAATTAATTTTGTGTCTTAAATGTTTTGTGTTTTAAATGAGTCATTATATTTTAGCCAGTTTGAAGCCAAGAGCTCTACCAATTTATTTCGTTCTACTTCCCATCCAGCTTTAACCAGTATATCATCTTCTACATAATCTCTCTGTTACTGTGAAAAGGGATCAGCTAGTCCCTGTATTGGGCTATAAACAAGGAAGACATAACACAGTAACTTAGCAATATGTTCTCTGAATAGAATACTGGCGGCCATCTCGGCCTATCACGGGCCAGCTCAGCCTATAACCAGTTCTGGCTTTCTTCTTGCACAACACAAAGTGTAACATTTTACTGTCATTTTGCCCTTCAAAGAATCTCAAAATGTTTTAACGTATTCTCGTTGGATGGAACCAGATCCAAACAGAGTCTTTTGCAATGTATTTTTGCACAACTTCGAAAAACGTATGGTAAATGTATTGATTGTTCTATTTTTAAAACAATTCTGTATGTTTTTTTCTATACAATATGTTAAGATGACCTGATATCCTTTGTGATTGAGTTTTCCCCCTGGTGCCCGGACGATCCCTTCCCACCAAGAGGGCACATGCACATGTTCAGCAATATGACCATACTTGTCAAGCGTCCATGCCCTTGCACAGCATTATCTATTCATAGACCAAAGAGCGTTTGAATGCATCCAGAGCATTATGGACCATTGCTGCTGCTTCCAACATGGATAGAAGAGTTGTGGGAGTTATTTACTTATCTCTGCCGTACTCGTCAGAAAGTGAGATCTATAAAACTTTCACCGGGGCAAGAATGAAGAATTCTCATTATTGTCAAAGTGTCAGTTTTGGGCAAGAATGAAGAATTCTTATTATTGTCAAAGTGTCAGTTTTTCTTTAAAATATGACACTACAGCCTGCTGTAGCAGTAGTTATGATGGTAGGAATATCCTGGCCCTGTTTCCCAGTAATGGTTTCCCGCCTTACCTGCGACCCAGCCTGGCGCAAAGGGTCCTCTATATTTGCTGACGTGCATCCGGCTTCTGCATACAAGGCTTTAAATGTAGGTTATTTATTAAATTAATTTTTTCAGATTTTTTTATTTTAACAATTTTCCGGTGGTGGCTTATGCAAACATTGCGTATTTCTGTCGTTTTTTCCCCCTCCTTTAAATGCATGTACATTTATTCTGTGAATTTACCTTCTAACGGAAATTCAAGTTGTTTGATGCATTTGCAAATCCAATATTTAATATGGGATTCACATGTGAGAATTGCTGATTTTAATGCAGACTCCCGATGAATTCTAACTAGATTAGTAAATATGAGAATTGCAACTGCATTTGGACTTCAGTGTATAACCTTGAGGGTTATTGCCACGATCATGTGCATGCGTTCTTATGGCGTCAAGGAAAACATGGCTGTGCGCGTATCGTGACAGCCACTAAGGGCATTTAATCCGCGTTACCATTCCTGCAGATCGGCAATATTTTACATTGCAGGCTTAAAATGAGAGGGACATGGCACCCTCACCACTTCATTGAGATGAAGCAATCAGGGTGCCTCTAGTGTCCCTTTAATCTTTGAATGGTGAGCTGATTTACAATCGGGATTTTATAGGAAATGAGGGATATGAATGCTCATGGTATATATTTGTTATGGTGAATCTGCACTGAAAAGCATAAACAGAAATCTCATGAATTCAAGTGTGGGCGAGTAGGTGGGTTTTTGCCCCATTCACAACCCCAAATCCTGCTTTTTATCTCCCATTTCACACCAGGCCAAAGGGGGGCATCTGGAATTGAATGCTTTATCCAGCCTTCTGAAAATGACTGGATTATTCCTGCCCTCTATGAATTAATCACATTCTATAATAGATCATTGAATATAAATGGAAAATAATGGACTATTCAGTATGCTGGGACAGACCGTCAGCTATTAATACAAAGATTAGCAGAAAATTCTCAGTATACTGTTTGGAAACTGGTGGGTGACATCTAGTTGAGGTTTTGGTTTCTAAAATGTCAGAAGGTTATTTGCACACAAGGACCACACAAAATGGTGCTCCAAAGCCATAACTTAACAATCTCATTTATAAGATTTTAAAACCAAATCAAACACTCAAAGTCGCCTACTCTCAAAATTTGTGAATTTTAAAAAAAGTGAAGAGGAAAATTATGATTTAGAGTACAAAAAAAGTGTGTTTAATTGTGTGCTTTCTGTGTCTGCAACACGTGTTGGGTCAAAAACACGAAACCAAAAGCCATGTGAGGTGCATGTTGACACTTTCTATAAAGAATTTTTTTTATTAGCCAAACAGCATTAAAGGCCAATTGACTGGTGTTTCAAGAGGGTTGTTTACAGCGTTTAATCAAAGTTCGCGAAATGTCAGAATAACCCAAGTCTCACCTGCAACGTGAGTGTCTTCGAGGTGTTTTGAAGCTCTGAACATCACACCAGCGCTCCCAGTTATTAATTTGCTCTCTATGTTCTTTATGAGATCAAAGGTTTTATGGCACATTAAAATGATGTAAAATTGGCAGAAAACTGAGACCTGCTTACCCTGCCTTTGCCCTGTTTAACAAAATGTACAGTTGAGGCTGTTTATTTCATGTTTCACAGAAATAGTCACATAAACCTTTAGAGTTCTCAGGAAGGAAAAAGTACATAGGTACAAACTTTAACAGATATATTGTAGATAATGTGAGAAATAATTCCCCTTCTTTCAAAAAATACATTATAGTTTGTGTTGTAATGGCTACACCAGGATTGCTGGGGAAGAATTTTGAGTAGCGGTGGGGCAAGTAACAACTCTTATTCATCCCTATTGTGTAGATACTCATGGATCATGACAATCTTTATTGACTATTAAAGGGACCCAGACCACTTCAGCCCATTGAATCGGTCTGGGTGCATAGTCCCAGGTCCCTTAATCCTGCAATGGTAATGTTTGCAGTTTTGATATGGTTTTATAATCTAGCAGCCAGCCTTTTGGGCAAAACACTGAAATCCATTTGACAGAAAATAAACTGGACATAAACTCATCGCAACATAACCACAACAAGGAGCTATACTGGTGACGGGGGCCTATCATCTCCTGCCCCATGATGCCATTACGCCTTCTTGGGAAAATGTAACCATTACTGCCATAAAATATGTCTAGTGTGATGTAGTCCATTAGTAACATGGTCCAAAAATGATCTTGCGGCTCAGCACTAATGTGAGGAGGTGAAAAGATTTGACCTAAACTGTAATGATTAATCACGTCCTCAAGGTAATTAGCGCTCACCCAGAAACACGGCGTGTTTTTACGAGATTTCAGGAAGACTGGTGAAAACAGACGTCCTGAACTTTGTTTACAACTTCTACGAAGCAATTTCTTTTTATTATTGTTTTCAGTCAGACACTTTCCACGTGCCCCAGTTCTGGAGTAAACCTGAACTAGCCTCTCCGCGTAACTTCAAGAGGAGGGACGAGGAGTCTCAGAGCAGATATGCCGAGAATGTACTTACAACCATCTCAGAGTTCTCTGAATGAAGTATCACCTATGTATTGTCAACTAAAATAAAATTATCCAATTGTACGGAGCTGAACTAATAAAAAAAAAACTTTATTCTCCTACAGTTCCATGTAATTTGTCATTAATTAAAGCACGACTGTCCCTTTGCAGGTTTTGTTTTCAAATTATTCCTTTTATGTCCCTGTATGTCCTCTTTAATATTTAAATTTTGCTTAATTTTGTATTTGTACATAAGATTAAGTAAGGGCAACTTGTTGGAGATACTTTACCCACAATCACTCACATTTAGAAGAATCCCTCATAAGGCAAACTGCAGACATGATGGGCAGAGAACAAACTGGCTGCGCACAGGTAATGAGGTCTGGGGCACATAAGAAATATAAATATAAAAAAGGCAAGTGTCAAGGAGGGGAATAGACTCATTAAGGCAAAGATAGTGTATAGAAAGGAACACTGAAATAAATAACAGGACAGTGCCATTTTAAATATAACTCCTATCAAATCCCCTCCAACAATTCTGTATAACATTGTAATGTTACCAAATTAGTATTTTTACTAATAGTTTTACTAGTAGTTTTAGTATTACTAAATATAACTTCTGCTAAATCCTTATATGACTCCATATAACCTCTCTCTATAACCCCTCCAATTACTCCATATAACCTCTCTCTATAACTCGTCCTATAACTCCATATAACCTCTCCCTATAACTCGTCCTATAACTCCATATAACCTCTCCCTATAACTCCTCCTATTACTCCATATAAGTTCTCTCTATAACTCGTCCTATAACTCCATATAACCTCTCCCTATAACTCCTCCTATTACTCCGTATAACCTCTCCCTATAACTCCTCCTATTACTCCATATAACCTCTCCCTATAACTCCTCCTATTACTACATATAACCTCTGCCTATAACTCCTCCTATTACTCCATATACCCTCTCCCTATAACTCCTCCTATTACTCCATATAACCTCTCCCTATAACTCCTCCTATTACTCCGTATAACCTCTCCCTATAACTCCTCCTATTACTCCATATAACCCTCCATATAACTCCTCCTATTACCCCATATAACCTCTCTCTATAACTCCTCCTATTACTCCATATACCCTCTCTCTATAACACCTCCTATTACTCCATGTAACCTCTCTATAACACCTCTTGTCTTGATCAGAAATCGCACTGTGTTCATTCTTAAGGCTGCAGACACAACATCTATGCCCCTAATCACTTCATTAAAGTGAAATTATTTTGGTGCTTAGACTGTCCCATTAAATATTTATCCTTTATTCCCCCTGTATAGATTGACAAATTCATACCTCCCAACATTTCAGTTGGACAAATAGGGAAACTGAGTGGGGTGTGACTTACTAATAACAATATATGAAACTAAAATGTTATTTCAATTGTCCCCCCTCCTCATGCTTATGTATGTAGGTATGCCCTGTGTATGCTATGGAACTTCATTAAAAGAGGGACATTAGGATAGAAAAGAATGATAGAGGGATTTGGGCCCAAAATAGGGACTGTCCCTTCCAAATAGGGACACTTGGGAGGAATGCCAGTGACAATCTGTTGGACTGTAAATTACTATTGAAAGTAAAATGCTCATATCTTTGTATTTCTCTGTAATTATTCTATCCACAGATATGCATCCAATAAATGTCTTAACTTCTGACAAGCAGCAAATGTTTGTCCGTGGAAAAACAAAAACAAAGAAGCAGTGAAACTGTTCATGCCCCCGGGCACAGTCTGTCCATTCAATGTGTTGGTACATTATAATAATTCCCATCAGTAATATGAGGCCAGCTAGCCCAGCTGTGCGTTCCGGGTCATTACGGCTGCTGTAACTCTATGTCCCATTGCAAAATATTTTAAAGAAGAATATTCTGTCGTATTAACCCTTTAATTAGCAACATAAAATGCAGAATTTCCCCTTTAGAGGGTTACTGTAAGCACCATGACCACTTATAACTCCACAATCGTCCGCGTCTTTAGCCAGCGTGACTAGCTAATGTTAAATCTATGCATATTGGGTGTCTGTCATCAGTACGCATTGCATGCCTGCGATAAACGACCAATGGCAGCACATCACCCCCACCCCGTGCCAAAGGTTGCCTCTCCTGCTCTCAATCCTACTCAAATTTTCCATATTTCACATGTGTCCATATATACTCAGATGATTATCAAATCCCCACCCCAAACTATTTTTTGGGGCATTTTTCTTTAGAATATAGTTTAGCTTGGGGATGTCTTCATCTTAGTTTACAGGCAGTGGGTTTCTGATATATTCAACTTGTGTGTACCTACAGCAGCTCCCAACGACAATACGAGGCCTCCATTATACAATATTTATATTACCCTGGTTTCATAACCTTTTGTTAGACTTGGTGCAAAATACACTCACAATTCTGGGGATGATGTCAATGAATATGGACAACTGTCTCATATCAAGTGGTTTTCAATTACGGAAGAAGCTATTTCATAACCGATAGGAAGAATATCACATCTGGGACAGAATGCAATTTTCTTAAAAACATTACCTCAGAATATCAAAAGATATGGAATAAAAGATTCTCTACTGATCTCTGTCTGACTCACAGATTCCTTATATAATGGTTGCTTAAGTAATATACAATTTACCTGTGCATGTTTATGAACACTGGTTGATGTAATTTGCACTCTATAAAAACATCATCAATAATAAGCATAAGGCCTTTCAGGGAATATTATCGTTTTATGGACATTAATCTTTAATGGAAAAAGCACAGGTTTCACTGGGTCACTGGAACATAAAATCTGAAATTGATCGCACTACAACCCTTATTACCACAGCCAGCCATAGATATAGAGAGATGGCAATAGGTCTACAGTTTACCGTCAGGATGACAATTCAGGAAATTACGTATTTTCTTTTTCATTCCAAAACCGCATATGCCCTGGACCGATCTTACTCTTGTTTATTTTATTTTTTTGACAATCTTTATTTTGTATATGTATTTTTTTATTGTTTCTTATCACATCTATTCTTAAGGTGAGGACCCAGCATTGGGGTGAGGGTCATAGGGGAGGGACCGACTTAGGGTAAAGAAAGAGGGGGAGTGAGAGAAGAAAGACAGAAGAGAGAGAAAATAAATAAATAAAAACAGAGGTGGTGGTAACAGAGGGGACAATATGTGTCTCCTCTCACTGCTTCTCCATCTGCACGGTTGTAATGCGGGAGCATCGAACATCGATGGTATGTGTCAGTTCATTCTATATCTCTGTCCACCACAGGGAGTGGGGCCGTGCTGTTGTATTTGTGGTGGTCTGTATGGGGAATTGAGCCTGTGTAAGGCAATTAGGATGATGAGACTGAGCTGGTGATGTAAACCAGCCAGGAGGGCCATGTAAGGGTGTGTTTATTGGACCTGCCATTGAGGGTCACAGTCAAGGACTCCATCCCATGGATTTCCTCCACCATAGCCACCCATGTGGGTGGCTGAATGTGGGCGCACCTGCCTGCTTCCAGAGGAGTGGGATTAGGGATTTAGCAGCGGTGAGCCCTGTTTATTTTTTGGAAAGCACCAGTATAATTTGTGGCGCAGTACACTTTTACAGACTGTGACTGCAGAGAACGAACCTGACAACAGAACAGGGGCTTGAAATCAGAACCTGAGACCGTTGGGTGTTATGGTGACTAACTAGTTGATGTAAGATACATTCTGGTACAAAAGGATGAAGGGCCCTGTTCCTATAAGCTTACAATCTATCACATGTTGTTTGGAGTGTTGCCACATCTTGACACTAAATTTGAAATTCATTACTGGCTCAGATCAGTCTGTTCAAGGACTACGATAAGCACACAGCCCACTTCATCTCCATGATCTCCATGATGTGCTCCAGGTGCAGTGACCCTGCTGTTTCGCTCCCACAGTGTATAACATTTTGGAGATACGACAATGTTTTCATTGTGAGGCTAAACACATCTCCAGGGGGCATTTAATTGGTACATATTGGCCAGCGCCCTATTTCCCATGAGGCTAACAAGGCATTTGCCTTGGACTGCACTTTCGGGGGCGGGCGGCAAAAATGCCGCTGCCCTACGCCCTGGAAGATGCCCTGTTAGCCTCTTTCACAGGGGGCCACAGGAGATGGGACTCTCCCCTGAGCTGTTCCTGCTTAGCCCCTTGTGCCCAGAAGTGATGCCGGGAGCCGGAATATGACGTCACTCCGGCGCATGGCATCACTAAGTTGCACGTGAGGGAGCTGAGCAGGAGGAATACAGCTCCCTCGCTGCCTCCACTGTGCGTCGGCCTGCCTGCATGCAGCCCAGGAGCAGACAGCCCAGCAAGCCCCACTGGACCCCAGGGAAGAATCCACTCCAGCTCTCCCAGAGGTAAGGGGGGCTGGGTGGATTAAAATAAAATAAAAAAACAACATTTATATACTTTGTAAGTGAGTGTGAGACAATGAGTTTGAGTGTGTCAGTACCAGAGTGTCTGTCAGTGAATGTGTGTGTCAGTGTGTGTATGTCTGTGAGTGAGTGTGTATCTGTTAGTGAGTGTGTGTTTGTAAGTCAATGTGTGTGTATGTTAGTGTTTGTCTGTGAGTCAGTGTGTATCTGTTAGTGAGTGTGTGTTTGTAAGTGAGTGTGTTTGTAAGTGAGTGTGTTTGTAAGTGAATGTGTATGTGTCAGTGTATGTCTGTGAGTGTATATCTGTTAGTGAGTGTGTGTGTCTGTCACTGAATGTATGTCACTGTATGTGTATCTGAGAGTGTGTGCCTGTCAGTGAGTGGGTGTGTCAGTGTGTGTCTGTCAGTCAAACTGCAAGTTTCTCTTAAAGGAACACTGTAGTCACCCAGACCACTTCAGATCATTGTAGTGGCCTGGGTGCAGTGTCCCTAATGTACTTAGTGCTGAAATGCAAAACATTGCAGTTCCAGAGAAATTGCAATGTATACATTGCAGCTCTAAGTCTGCCCACAGTGGCTATCTACCAGACAGCCACTAGAGGTAGGGGGTTCCCTGGATTGGAACGGACCTTTGGTCCGGTATCTGACGATGGACATCCTCA